ATGATAAAGTATATAATTCAAATCATAATAAAAATTAATAAGACATATGGACCATCGTAAATAGAAATCTGCAGATTGAACATTTAAAAAAAATTAATGCCTTAACTTTTATAGACTATATTTCGATGAATTTTGAAGCTATTTTGATAAATCAAATAAAACTTAGAACGAAAACTTTCTTTTGACTATCAAAATATAGTTAAGGTATTGATTTTTTTTAAAATGTCAATCTGCCTGATTTCTATTGACGACAGCCTATATATGCGGATAATTTGTATAATTTCCAGAAGACTAAAAATTCAAAAGATCGATTTATATAGTGCAATTACTTAAAATGAATTGAAATATAAAAGTTTTTGATGCGCAAAAACTATCGGGTTTTTATAATTGAATTAGAATATTGTAAAACTGATTTAATTTTAACCTGAATTTAAGTCAGATTATAATACGTAACCAGTTCCTACCTCTATTTAAAATTCACCAGTTTGATTAGTTATTATATTGGAATAATTTTATATTATATAATATCTTTATTGATTTTATTGAAACTTTAGCTTTTTCTTTAAAAATAAAAAAAAAAGACAATGGCATTTTTCGTTGGAAAAACTTATCTATGCATGTATATAATCTACTTACAGTATCTACACCTACGTATGTACTGCAGTACTGTATGTACAAATAATCGGACTCAAATACGTATAGGTGTTAAAGAATTTTCATTTTACAATGAAGAACATTAATCAAAATTAAAGAATAATTATACAAAATTAAAAGATTATAAATAAATTATTTTTTAACGACTTTAAATCGAATGCAATCATCTTGAGAACCACGTTGAGCAACCGGCATGATAACTGGTTGATGAGAATGTGTGGAGCTCATTGTACACAATCTATAAAAGCCCCTTGGTAATCCATCAACTTTAACTGATAATTCATTATTTTTTGTCTTATCGTTCAATGCTTTGAAGACAGTATGTTTGGTTGGATCTGGAGGTTCA